TTATACGTGTATCCTACTTAAATTAAGGTATCGTTCACTTTGTGAATTCGAGTTTTCAATTTGAGTTGAGATGTTACATTTTTTGAGAGTTTTTAACTGTAGCAGAAAAAATTAAATGTGACATTTTTTAAGAATTTTTAACTGTAAAAATTTAAAATTAAAAACTTAAATTGATAAAATAAATGAGGCCTAAATTATACGTGTATTAAAATTCGACAAAATTAAATTCACACGCTCCAACTAGTAGTAATAATAAACCTGTGGTTGGTAAGTTTGAAAATCCTTAAAACGTCGTCGCTTCCTCTTCAAAAACAAAAGGGAGAGCCAGACCCAGAAGTTTGCGCTCGCGCTTGCCCGCGCGGTGTTTCCAACAAAACATGGCCACGCGATCCTTATGGCGCGCTGGAGCGAAATTCGCGGCGGCGATCACCGGCATAGCGGCCGGAGCCGCCGCGACCTCCGATGATCCATCCAGGACTCTCAAGCTCTTCACTGCCGTCCCCGTCCGCCTCTTCCGCGACGCCGTCACCGTCGCCAGCATCGCTTTCGGTACCTTCTCCTAAAAAATTTCCCGCCTTCTAGGCCCTAGGTCGTCTGAAATGGCGGTTTCTTTTATCCCAGCTATCTGACTAGTGTTGTATATTGTGAATTCACTTAGCAATGAATTTCCCAACTTTGAATCGCTTTCTTTCTCAGAAGAAGACATTTTTAAGATAATGGCGGAAATTTACTTCGATCCAATTTGTAGTTGTGTTAAATGTTGAGTTCTGGTGATATTAGACCAAAATTATAATTCGCAATCGTAATGAACTGATAAACGTTGGAGTCCCAAATAAATGGGAAGTCTTGCTTGCTAATTGTGAAATATTTTGGTGATTATTAGATTATGAGTATTCACTATGGGGATTGGCCGAGGGAAGTAATGAGAGGTCTAGAGTTAAGCATGAAGTTCACCTCAGGTCTGCACGTAAACTTCAAGAATTGTGTTTCAAGAATGGAGGCATATATATCAAGCTTGGTCAACATGTTGGACAACTGGTAATTACTTCAATTTTCTCTATTTGGTATTTATGAAGGGAATGGTAATTCTCATTCTTTGTTTCATGCTGAATTGGGAATTTAGAATTGTTTTCTTCAAGCACGAGCATGGAAATTTGGTTGTTATGGCTTTATTTCATCTTTATCCAGGAGTACTTAGTACCTCAAGAGTACGTCGAGACAATGAGAGAGTCTATGTTGAATAAATGTCCCGTTTCTTCGTATGATCAAGTGTGTGAAGTCTTCAAGAAAGAGCTCGGAATGACACCGGATAAAGTATGTATTTTTGGGCATATGTCATTCAGGAAATCCTTTATAGTTTTGAGAATGCGTAAACTAGGTTTCATTCATGGTGTAGTACTTGAGTTTATGTTAAGGAAAAATGCTTGTGCGCTGAAGTAAGCATTTTCCATGTAGATCTTCCCTGAATTCAATCCTGTTCCAGTAGCAAGCGCGTCCCTTGCACAGGTTCATGTTGCTTGGATGTCTGATGGCCAGAAAGTTGCCGTGAAGGTGTTAATTGTCAATTTTACGCCACATATGGATCTTTAGTGCTAGGTGCATTTGTACAGATTGTCTTTCTTATGAGAATCCCCATTTTATGTTATATAAATTTTCAACATTCAGGTTCAGCACACTCACATGACTGATACTGCGGCTGCAGATCATGCTACCGTGGAATATATCGTGAACACCCTGCATTGGTTTTTTCCTTCTTTTGATTACAGGTATTCTTGGATGCTTTCTTTCCGTAGCATCTAGGTTAGGGTAAGTTAATACACTTTGTCCTGCTAACCAACGGTGCATGAATTTTAAACACAGCATTATCAGAAGACGGGGATGTACTTACTTTCCTCCTATGTAGCTAGGATTTGTCTTTTTTGCGGAAGGGAATTCTGTGTTTTTAAATTATTTGTTTTAATGTGCAGATGGTTGGTTGATGAAATTCGTGAAAGTTTGCCAAAGGCAAGTTTTGTTATCTTTTTAATTTATTTTTTCCGCTTTCTTTTATCTTGTTTGTGCTCTTCTTTTAATGTCTGTATGTTTTCTAAATTGGAAGCGACATAGGGGACGTATCTCTTTAATTATATGTTCAATTCTTGATATCATTTTCTGAAATGATCTGTGCTTCTCAAAAAAATATTTACAACATGATAAACTAGTCTCTCTCTCTCTCTCTCTCTCTCTCTCTCTCTCTCTCTCTCTC